GAGCTACGATGCCAGACAGACACACGTTAAACATGTAACACCCTTCCTGTTTGCGGCGGGGAATAAAATTGGACCGTGTTTTTGTCACAAATGTTTCAACACACAAAAACAAAGTTATTTACATTTGAAAGATAAATACATTTTTTATGGTAGCTATAGGTCAGTTAAACAAAGCTGGCACGTACTACACATTTACACGTAGCGCTTGTGTAGTGTCTGTGAATAAGCCCTTGGCGTGACGTCGCACCGCATGCGCATCATGAAAAGTCTGCCCGTCTCTCTCTCGCGTGATCGAGCTTATGAGTGTGAAGGGGACAGTGATTGTTTTGCTTTTGATACTGTTTATAAATACAGCGTGGTCTTTTTGGTATTCAACCGTTAGCGTCAGTCACGTGTAATCGACACGCAGCGCGTTTAATTATTCACATATTTGGAGTTTAGAATAAAATGTCTTCTGAAAGAATTGGTTCCGGAAAAACTTTAACAGGACAATCTCGTGAAATAGTGTACAACGTTTTTAACTATTTCATGCATTATCATAATAAAAAAGTGATGGTGGAGATCGTTTAATGAAAGATTTGTACGGTTTGACATCAGATGCGACTGGTGTTTCTCAGAGAAGTGTTCAACGAGTTGTTTGTGAAGTACGTAATCAAGTTATAGAGTATGTTAAAGCGTCAACATCACAACAGTCTACCTCAGGAGGAGAGCCACAGCATCCAAAACATTGGTACCTCAAGTTACTTTTATAACACCGAGTAAAAAGCGACCAAGGTTAGCAAAAAAATCTTCAGTAGATAGTTTTGACCAAGAAGTCATAAGGCGAACTATCTACAACTTTCATCTGGTTCAGCATACATTTCCGACATTAAAAAAGTTATTAGAAGTGTTAAAAGAAAGTATCAACTTTGAGGGAGGCATTTCTTCATTAAGAAAGGTCGTTCGGAGGCTTGGTTTCAGATGGAATAAGACACAAAATAATAAAAAACTACTTATTGAAAAAAGGAACATTAGACTCAAAAGAACATTATATCTTTCGAAATTGCAAGAATATAGATCACAAGGCCGACCTATAATATATACGGATGAATCTTACATACACAGCTCGCATACGTTGCCACAATCATGGTCCGACGAAACGAGCGAAGGTTGTAAAGTACCTATTTCCAAGGGCGACATGCTAGTGATAGTTCATGCCTGCTCGGAAGAAGGATTTATTCCAGAAGCTTTGCTTATCTATCCAGCAAAAAAGCAAAAGGAAGACTATCACAGTAATATGAATGCTGGTAATTATCAGAAATGGATTAAAGAAAAACTTCTTCCAAATTTACCACCACAGTCAGTTTTAGTAGTCGATAATGCATCGTACCACAACGTCGTATCGGATCCAGTGCCTGCATCAAATTCAACAAACAGTGACATGTTAGCTTGGTTGGACAAAATAATATATCATATCCCGAAAGAAACACAAAACCTATGCTATATATTATTAAAAAAAATAAGCCAAACTATGTACAATTTGTACTTGATAAAATCCTCCAAGATCACGGACACAGTGTATTGCGCCTACCACCCTACCATACAGAACTCAACCCAATAGAGTTACTGTGGGGTATAATTAGAGGGAAAGTTGCATCACAAAACGTTAAGTTTAACTTAAAAACTGTGGAAGAATTATTTAGAAAAGAAGCAGATTCTATTACTCTTGATATGTTTAGTGACGTTTGGAGAAAGACGCGAGGACATGAGGAAAAAATATATTCAACTGGAACTAAAAGTGGATAATTTCACTGATTCATTTATAATTACACTAGGAAATTCCGACGGCGAAACATCATGTTCTTCGAGCGATGAAAGTTTGAGTGGGGTAGAAAATTTAATTTACGATTCTGACTGAAAGCAATAACGTAATAATTATAATATATTATAGCAAGCAACACATATTTTTTATTTATTTATCCACAACGCACCTAATCTTACTAAAATCTAACTCTATTCTACACTTAGACTAGAGTCGCATTTTGAACCAAAATCATTTATTTTTAAACATACTGTATAGAGAAATTGCATAAGTGTGAGTACTGTGAACATGCCAGCTTTAGTTAACTGACCTAATACTTTATTATATTATGTATGTAATTTTAAAGAAAATTAAATGTAGATTTTGGGAATAACTGTCATTTTTCAGAAGTTTTTTATACTTGGAAATAAAATGAAAAAAGAGCAAATTTTGGCAAGTTTGTGGGTTGAATCATTTCTGCTCAATACGGTGCATTTATATGTTGAACTAGTTGTTCCCCGCAACTTCGCCCGCGTAGAATTTATTACGATTAGATTTCATGTCAACACTTATTTTTTTTTTCTAAAATAAAATTAGCCTAAATTACTCCTTATAACATCAGCTACCTGTCAATGAAAGTGCCGTCAAAATCAGTCCAGCAATTAGGATATTAGCCGAAACAAACAGACACAAAAATTTTAACAATCGCCTTTTTTAAGTACCGTATATATTTTCATACGCATTTAGTAAGAAGCTGTTATTTTGACATTACAGACACTTCAATTTTGTATATATATTAGTGATTATGCTCAATGATACGAAATATATAATATAATAAAAAAGCCAGATTTGTTCACCACAAATTAATACATCATATTATACTGTTTTGGTTTTATATGTCTAAAACTTTCAAGGGAACAACATTTTTTTAGAAGGACTACATAGGCGTGAGTACCGAGATATGTTTACTTACTTGCAACATTAATCACCTTCAATCGTAATTTAAAATCTACTTTTAATTAATTTTTTGCATAAGAATCTAATATTGTATTTATAACAGTTCTATTGATATATTATTTTAATAAAACTATTTGACTTCCGTTATACATGTCTAAAAACAGACTTTCAACTTTCTCAGGAATCATTTTAATATTTAAATTTAGATGTAAATATCTGCACGTCTTATTGCATAATAAATACAGATAAATATTTTTATTAATATTACGAGTAGTACAGTACCAACCACACCTTCTTTTTCACTTCATGTGTCAATCAATTAAGTGAGGTCATATTATAATTAACAAAATAAAAGGTAAAAATATCTTGTCCATTTTTACACAAATATACAAACAGAATGTTTAAATCCCAAAATAATAGCGAATTATACATTTATAGCAAATCAATAACCGAAGCAAAAATTTATTACATTACTTCTGCACAAGTAATATACAATTTTAAGCTATGATTCTTGATCAATCGTGAAATTGCTCTCGCTCTCTTACTGTTGCATAATCTGCTATGTTAAGTTAAGTTTTAGATCTTTTCATTTCAAATATGGAAATCAGACATAAGGTGTGTAATATCGTACATAATCTGTTACAATTAGTTGGTTTAAGATATGACGAAATATTACTTTGTATTTATAAATATATTTTTTCGTAAGAGAAACCTATAGACTAATGATTAGCGTGGCCTCGAGTGAGAAAGGACGATAACGTAGTTTTAGGTTATACAATAATCTCTATGACTTTTAAACATCTTTAGATAAAAAATTTAATTGTTCTAAGAACTGAACTGAACAAGATTCACCAATCTTAAGCTCACAAAACACTTTTTTTTTCTCACTTAAACCAACTTGTAAACTCCTTAGATCGCTACGAACTGTCAAAGTTGTTTAGCAAAGTGTAGTTTGCTAAACAAAAAAACCGGCACGGAGAGAGGGACAAACAATCACACCGCTCTGTCTCATTTCTATGCAAGACGTATGCATAAATCCATCTTTTTCGTGTGCGAATGCGAAAGAAGGCGTCAATTTGTCTATAGGTTTCTCTGTCTACGATTTATTTAATTCTGATTAGAACCTCCTTTGTGTTCAATATCCTGTGCTCGTTTTCATCCGGTTAAAATTAGTATATATAATGTTAGCATGTAGTGGCGGTGTAGGAATATATAGCACATACCGTACCGTGTCGTAAGAGGCGACAGAGAGGAACTGAAGCAGATGGGAAGCAGCAACTCCCTGATAACTCAAAATAGTAAAAAGCTGTGTTTGCCAACCCACGTTCTGCAAAGCATGGCAACTATGGCAACAATTACCCAAATAGGCATTCTATGGAGTAGGGCTAGGTTTTCAGCAGTGGAATTTTATATACTGTAACGCATGAATGGATTCAACATCCGTTAAAGTAGTAAATAATGTTTGCATCGGATTTAGAAAGTGTTGTATTGTAACAAGAATATATTAAATATTTCGAAACATTTTAAAATAATTAAACAAGCATTCTCTAATCTAACTTACAATATATCCTTTGACGGTGTCCAGCCCGACTAGGATAATAATAAAATTTTTCAATTATTTTAGGTTTTCCCGAAGCTATGTCACGATGGTGTAATCAGATGGACGGTGTTCAACCGAACAGCTTTACGCTGCTCTCCTGATATCCCCCCTTAGAATAGTACTATGTTATGTGTTGAGTGAACTGCCATTAAATAGAATACCGGCGTCTAGTGAAATGGCACAAATTAAACCATCCAGCCATAATATACAGTACGTAAAGAAAAAGTTGTCCGACCCGAAAGAATTAAGAACACGTTATTGTTATTTAAAATACTTGTTTTTATCTACAATTTGCAAAACGTTTAGTTTTTTTTTTAAATCAGGCAATACCGACGATAGTATCTTTTAGACCGCGTCGCATATTGCAATGTAAATTTCCCAATTTTTGTGGGGTAATTGTATTAATTCCCTAAAAGAATTACATGAACAGAATTATTTAACAATACCTATATACAAGCACCTTCACGGATCGGACAGGAATTTTATATGCTACACAGAAACTATAACATGTAAACTTTATCATGTTTTTGCTTTTTTCTTGTGCACACACATAATGAAACCACCTTTGAAGACTAGTAAAGGATAAATCCTTGCACAATTCCATTTAAAATTCATTATATCTGAAGCTGCAGCTACGTCAAAGTCTAGAACATCTCAGGCGTTCTAATCGAGCTCTATCCGCATGTTGGGCGCTAAGGTACCGCACTGAAACTTGGACTCTTTGAGCTTGTTCAGTGACAGCCTCAAGTCCTCCATGGTGATTGGCCGAACTGCATCAACAAACTCTTCGTCGGACTCTGAATTTGTTGTTTTATTTTTCACCTGTAAACAATACATCATTTTACATTTTTTCATGTTATGCGATTCTCCTGTTTTGTATTTTTAATAAACTTCAATAGAGGAGAAGGACCGATTTTTGGCAGCTGAACCAGAAACATAAACTTTTTTATTCAATATAGATTATAAATAATACTTATTGAAAGTCACTTTATTTTTTTCATTTACCACTGGTTCCGAAAAAATTCTCTGTTCTGGGAAGAAACAGCAAGAAACCCAACGGGACTTTTTTTAAATAACAGCTACAATCATGTACGTTACAATCAACAACACAAAACAAATTAGAAATACGAGGCCGACACTGAAAGATTTTAGAACTGGCCACTTGTAAATGATGTAATAAAAAAATAAGTTCAAATTTTGAAAATGGAACTCTTAGCCAATATTATAAAAAAAAAAAAATAAGTATACGTATTATTATTAATTTGTCATTATTTGTTTACGATTTGGCGGTAAATTGAAAATTGTTTGTGTCACGTCAGCATGAATTTAACGCGAGAAATTTTTCGTACAGTGTTTTTTTATGACTTTCGATGTCATTTAAGTCAACAAGAAAATGATGATAGACTTCGACTGGCCTTTCACGATGAAGCCCTATCTCGTGCCACTGTTTACAACTGGTTTAAGTAGTTTAAAGTGGTCGCACTAATCTCGGTCAGACTCGGTCAGACGGTCTTCTACGGTGACGACTGAAGATAACATTAGTGTTGTGTGGTGTATGATAGAGACTATATAAAAAGTGACTTATCAGCAGATTCGGACAAGCTTAGGTATGAGTCAAGTGCACAAAATTCTCCATGAACATTTAGCGGTCAGGAAGCTTTGTGCCCGGTGGATAATCTAAAACACATATGCATTGTCACCCCTGAGGACTAAGATGGAATGCCTCGTAAAAAAGGGTCTCCGGTTCTCTACACTGTATTAAGCTGCTATTTTACGCTCGTATTCTGTGAGAGCGTGGTCCTTGGCCGGTCGGGCCGACCAATTCGTGCTACAACCATAATATAGCTGCAGCGTGGCTCTAACACGTATTTTCGTAATTAAATTCGTATATTGTTTTGTGTGTCAATGGTGTGATTAAATAGTGTTTCGTTCTTCCTTTCTTTAATCGTCACCCTTGCAAGTACTTGACACTTCCCGTTACCGGTTGGACTATTCCATCTGGCGTATACGGCATGGCTAAACCACTATCTGCATAAGTATAAAGTAACAAACCTCATCAGTCTCCCGGGCACACTCTTCCCTGGCGAACTCGCGGACCCGGTACACAGCAGCTTGGCGACATAGCTCGTGCAGATCTGAACCAGAGAAGCCCTCTGTTGCACTTGCAAGGCGACGGTAGTCAATCTGAGGGACAAAAAGTGTATTTTTATAAATCAAAAGTGTTAGTGAACTATCGAAATTCAAAGGGTATTTCCTACGAGGCTACTCAAAGTTCCAAAAGGCAGGAAAGGTACTCAAAGAAGGCTACAGCTGGATTGTCACCTCTAAGTACGAAGATAGAATACCTGCCTGAAATGAATGCCATGAAATGCAGGCATTACTTTTGGACGGCCTGGGCTAAAGAGGAGTCCTTCCATCTAAGTAAGTGCAATGATCAACACTCACATCGTCTGAGACAGGCTCGGACTTCAGTATGAGCTGCAGGATCCTCTCGCGCTGCATCTCGTTGGGCATGGGCACGTGGAAGGTGGCCGGCATGCGGCGTTGGATCGCCTTGTCCAGGTCTTGGGGACGGTTCGTCGCTCCTGAGAATAATTAAAAAAATTTATCACGTATATTACTATTAAAACTTATTTTGTATTCCCGACATTTGGAGTACTTTACAGCACCCATGATTATGGGAAGGGGGCGGAGGGAATAAAATCTGGACAAAATCCATCTGAGGTGTTCGATGTCTTTAACCACGATTTCAAATTAAAAGTATTAATTTTTAGTCCAATCTACGCAGTATGAACTTATAGTATCTAAGTCTTAGTATTTGGGTAATGGGTAAGGTCGTGAAAAAGTGTAAATAACGCACTAGAAGATATAACACACGGTAACACAATATCGTACTGGAATAATATAAAGGTCAATGTTCACTTGGAAATAGGTTCAAGTAAAATCCATTTTAAAATATTATCAATTACTTATTTTCATGAAATTCAGATTAAATAATCAAAAACGAATCTTAGACTATGCATAGACTATGAATAGCTTGCATGTTTGCGAAACTAAATACTAAAATAACACAACACAGTAGAATGAAAGCCTTTAACACAAAAAAAAAAATATGTTTTTACAATTTACAATTAGTTACTGATACTGTAATTATAACCATTAATCACAGTTTGTTTTACTGTTTTTTTTTTAATTATAAGAGCTATCCCACTTGACACTATTCGCGTTCGCACAGAGCCATATTTAAGAAGAAATTGAAATTTAAAAATGCGTTTTTATAATGTAATCAATAGACGAACTATAATATAGTATTACATTAATAATGATTAAAAAAAAACTTTTTGTGTTTATCTAATAAACTCAGCATACAAATATATTAAAGCCACATTAAAAAATGTGTTTTAATAATAATTTATTTATATTTTGCCAATTAATAAAATTTATTCTTATCATTTAAACATTTTTTTTTATAATATGGTCCTGTGCGAGTGAAAAAGTTGACGAAAGACGACAACCTCATAATTAAAAACGGACCTAGTTCGGCTACTGAGGGACCACTAGTAATAATAAATCAGAATAGTATAACACTCCACTCTTATGTAGGTACGTCAGAATAACATTACTACTTTTTCATTTCACCGTAGTCGGTGAAGTTGTGTGATTAGCCTCCTTTATATATTATCGAAGTCTTGTAAATTTTATTAATTATAGAATCCCAAGCAGATGGTAGCATTCACCCATCTTTGATATTGAAATTAAGATGTTTTTTAATTACAATAGCCTCGCGAATCATCCTTGAAAGGAATCGGTGTTCTTTAGCGAGGATTTGTGGTCTATCAAATTCAAAGTATTGATGGGCGATCTTGTATATGTTCACGGACACTACACACTTTAGTAGCCCTACACCACTTAGAACACAGGTTATCATTTTAACATCACAATGTTCACTTCACAGGCGACACTTGTTCAAAAGTTTACTAAACAAAATTATTTTGTCCGATAAAAATCTTCCTGCTCCATGATCCTAAAACGACCAACCAGGTTTTAGGATCATGGAGCAGGAAGAAGACTGCCATGCAGCCCCAACGCGAATTGGGAGAACTACCCTTGAGCTTAAAATGTTTTTTTTTACAATTTAATATACATTTTTCATATTTTAATTTCACTGTAAATCAGATATACACTGTAAATCACCACCCATCATACAGTTAAATTAGCATTTGAGGTGTCATTTACAATTTCTGTTGTACTCACATAGAAAACTGAATTTATTATCTTTATAATAGAATGTGAAACAAGACTATAGGCAATTGTCTTGATAACTGGCTGGCTACTGGACAGGTTCAGTGGTGAACTTCAAACTTGAGTTCCTGTGGCAGGCGACCGCATGCATTCAAACATTGGATGTAATGAATCTCATTGCATGGACAAGTTATTTTGAAAATATTTTACATAAATAATGTTATTAAATAAAATAATATACTAGTAGTAACAATACACACCTTGTAACTTAGCCAGTAGTTTTTAAGATAGAAACATAGGAAGTCAATGCGAACATTCGATTTTGAAAAACAAAATACCATATTTTTTTATTTCGATTTTTATAAATCTGAGCCTCTGTTTGGTTTAAAGGTACAAACGACCCTCTGTTTATCTTGTTTAAAAAAATCACGGTCGTAGACCTAATAGTTTGGCTGCAATTGAGAAGTTTAGGTTAAAATTTGATTTTGACAAATAACTTTTGAACCACTGAATATCGCATTACATACAGTGTGGTTAAATCGATAGGTACTGAGATCCTACTCTCCCCAGTCACCGATGATCCACCCCTCAAGTTACACAAGGTATGTATAGTATTTAGGTGCTACTAGTGAGTATGGGTTGGGTTGGGTTTGGGAGAAAAAGCAAGATACAGTACCCATGATAATCACGGTACAGGTGTTGTCGGTGATGAGTCCGTCCCAAAGCGACATGAACTGCGTTTTCATCATGGCCGTCGCCTCGTGGTCATGTTGGGTGCGCGTGCGCAGAAATGACTCGATCTCGTCTGCGAACAAAAACATAAATTAGCAAATAACAAAAAAGCACAAATTAATCATATTATCTTTTCTATATCTAAATTCTTGAATATTCAATATAATTTTACTGATGTTTACACTAGCTAAGGGCTGTTCGACTAGAGTAGACAAATGTTATGAATTTTTTTTCGGAACAGCAAATGTCGAATAAGAATGTCAATGTGTGTGACAGGCATCGCCGCAAGCACAGAGTTATGTGGTACGAGGCTCGCATTTGTTGTCAAGCGCGAGTACGGGCGAGCAAGTCGATGTAGCCATTTATCAGCAAAAATAATTAGTAGGTCGCAATTTGTAATGCATTTAGAAACCCTGGGGTTTTATCAACTCTCACCAAACAGAATTTAAGTTATTTCAATAAGCAAGCAACAAACATAACTAGCAATACCGTACAACATTCTAGTTGTGTTGTGGTCTCTACAGTGTTCAGTTTAGACACTGCAGCATATTTTTTTAATAGAATAAGGGTGACAAACGAGCACACAGTTCACCTGATGGTAAGTGGATGCTGTGGCACATAGACATCTACATTTATCCTCGATACAGAATCAAAACACAGATGCGTTGAGCTTTTTTATTCTGTGAGAGTGTGATCCTTCCCTGGTCGATCCGACCGATTCGTGTTACAACTATAATATAGCTGCCGTGTGGCTCTACCACATATAAAAAATCAAGACATTCAAGCCAAACGGTTTGCTACATTGTTCCTCATGTGTACAGTAAGGTGTGGAATAAGTTACCAGCATCTGTCTTTCCATCCGATTACATTGTCAATTTGTGCATCTTCAAGGCAAAATTGAATAGACTTTTGTTAAGTCAGTGTGTTTCACCATCTTTGACTACATCACCACTTACCATCAGATGGGATTGTAGTAAAGCAATGACTTATTAGTTTATTACTATTAAAAAAAGACATTCAACTTACCTATGAACACAATGCAAGGTTGTAGCTTGACAGCGAGACTGAACACAGCAGCCGCTAATTTCTGTGTCTCACCGTACCATTTGTCAGTGAGCAGTGACACATCTAAGTTAATAAAGCTCATGTTAGCTTCCTTTGCTGTTGCCTTCGCGATCAAGGTCTTTCCACAGCCTAGAAGCACATAAAATGACAATAATGAATACTAAAAATTGTAAAAATAAATAATACAATATAATGTGAAATATATTATTATATAAGATAATAACTGACATATTAAAATAACAAAAGTATGCCTTTTGTTAGGATATTTTTATTGTTTACATTCCTACTTAATAACATATACTATGTTTGCATATTTGTTTATTTTCTCGTCTATAGTTTTTTGTAAGTTGTGTATATTGGGTATTGCAATATATATGCACTCATTAATAGCAAATCTGGCAAAAATACTAGATATTGTAGTAGGGTGTGATGTTTTATTTAAGTAATGCATTCATTATTATTATTATGGGGGAAACATTTGTTTCCTAGCTCTTTGGCTATTTTTGATTCCATATACGGGCTTAAGGTTGCCCTAGTCGATGGCACGAACTAAGTGGTGGGCGGGGTAAAAATGCATGCTATCTCAGCCGACATCACGTGCGAAAGGGATAGACGCTGTGATGAGCAGTAAGAAGCTAGTGCGCACACACATACGCACTCGAGTGACGCAATGCGAGACGGCGTCATCGCGTACCTACCTATGCGATTCATTTTTGAATAATAACATAAACTCAAATGGCAATTTGAGCTCCGTATCGCAGTGGCTTAGCAATGAGACTGCGCTGGGCGCCGCGGGTTCGAATCCCGCACGGTACAAATATTTGTATGGCCTACAAATAGTTGTTCTGGGTCTGGATGTTGTCCTTGTGCAATTTATGTTTGTAAACTGCCTCCACGATACTGGAGAAAATCCTACTGTGGGGGTAACGTATTTTAAAAAGAGAAAGGAGAGAGAAAACAAATTGGTGTTATTATAACTTAAGATCTGCTGTGTGCAACGTAATTATTATGAACATAATTTATGTACTTAGTTGTTATTATGAAAGTTCTTATGTGAACTTAAGTAGATGTTGTTATTATATAATAATTCCATTGATTTCTTTTTACCTACTTTTTAACCGACTTCGAAAAAAGGTGGTTCTCAATTCGTTGGTTTTTGTTTATGTATGTTCTGTCCTCCGATTTCTCGAAGATGCCTGAAGCCTGAACCGATTTGGAAAATTATTTTTTGTTTGAAAGGATATATTTTCCAGATAATCCCACAGTAATCGATGATGGTCAGATCAGGATCTGATGATGGGATCTTGGAGAAATCGGGGGCACTCTTCAATAAATGACAGCAAATCAACCGCGATCGTTGCTATCGCCTATCTAAGCACTTCTTTACACAATCACACAATATAATATCACGCCTGTACCCACTAAATGGACATAACTCCCAACTAAAAACGGTAACATAAAAAACTTTTTTTGAAAAAAATATAACAATTTCTAAAACAAACACAAAAAAGTGTAACATAATTATGTTTTCTTTATATTTTTATATTTTACTGTAGGTTATGCAAATATTTACATATTTGCATAACCTACAGTAAACTATTTACACTGTAGGTACTATGTATTCTAAATAGGTATTTACTTTCCATAGCTAGTTAGCTATAATAGCCCACAGGCAACTCCCTGAAGTATACCTGTCAGCCAGTGTCAGGATAACTGCTTTTTCGACAGCGCGATTTTGATGTGAGTGGAGCTTTTATATAGGTTAATTAAATAAATAAAAAATGTTAGTTTGTAAATTGTTTATTGATTGTTTGTGTTCAATAGCGATTTGAAATATTCTCTTAGTACTTAGAAAGTTATCAACAATAGGAATTGTGTCACTGCAGGGACAAGCACAAACGTCTATCAAAATAGTAACGTATATAAACGGAATACTAACAGCACAGACTTCCTGACAGAAGTCCAAAGAACACGTCTAGGCAAGGTAAGTAATTAGAAGAAAACTACAATTTAGAGATCAATTGTAAATCAAATTCCCAGTACAGGCTACAGACACAATTAGCGAAATATGATTTATTAAAATTTTGATTTATTTTATAATAGATAATGCTAGTTGAAAACTAAACACTGTATGGGAATGGCATCACTGAACAAGTCAGGTGGTCATTCCAAACAAATAAAAGGCGCGATTGTAGAAAGAGATTAGTTACGAAACGTTTGTAGGCTAGGGGGCCGTTATGCTATTCATAACGAAGGCTATAAAATATGTAGGTACAACTTAGAAACTAAATCTAGTAAGTACTAAGTTGTCCACTCACATCTGTATGATTCTTTCTTCAAAGGACCATATTAGCCTGGTTCTCGTATGACATGACCAATGTAATACCTGGACTGACCTCTCTGAGTTTGTTTCGGCAGATCGGGTGCTTCTTCTCAGTTTCATGTTTTTGTTGTGTTAAAGTGTTTTTAAAAAAAAACAACTTACAAAACACATTTTATTTATCATTGACTGCCCACTTATTATGTACTTACATAAATTACATTAGGTATATTAGGATATGAGATTCCTATACGTAAGCACGATTATCGAAAATCTAAAAATTACCTATTCTAATTAAATTAATAGATAATTTTAAGATTTTCGATAATCGTGCTTATCTATGAGATGTTTTCGTTAGTTAGCAAATTAAAGTAGTTAAGTACCTAAATATAAATAGAATAGAGTGAATGGGGCACTACACTCTATTATGAAGAACCAGAATGTGTCAAAACAGGCACGTATGGTAATTCATAATGCTGTGTTAGTCCCTACGTTAATGTATGGTAGTGAAAGCTGGGTGTGGCAGAAGAAGCACGAAAGTAGAATAAATGCTGTAGAAATGCGTTCTTTAAGAAATATGCTAGGGTTTAATCTGAATGACAGGGTGAGAAATTGCGTGATAAGAGATAAATGTGGTATGCAAAATGATGTTGTGACCAGGATTAAGAAAGGAATGCTTCGGTGGTTTGGTCACGTAGAAAGAATGAATGATGAAAGAGTGACAAAGCAAATTTATATGGCAGATGTGAACGGCCGAGTCGGGGAAGGGACGCCCTAGAAAAAAGTTTGTCGACCAAATTGGCGATATTTTGAAAATGGGCCACGTTAGAAGTACCCTTAACCGACGAGCATGTATGCGTAGATATATGGATGTAAAGGAGGCGAAAGAGGTATGTCAGGATCGTGCCAAATGGAAGTCCGTAATCTCTGCCTACCCCTCTGGGTGACAGGCGTGAGATGTTTACGTTATGCATTATATGTTAAGTACCTAATGTACTACCTGTATCGAAAGTTCATTATTATGTACCTACCTGTTTTCAATTGTAACTAAATGTGCTTCAACAAACTTATGGGCACATTTTAGCAGCTATATTCATCCCGGCTACAGCAATGGACACGAACAAAAGGAAGCAATTTTTCTAAATAAAGATGTAGATATGTAGGTATTACAACCATAAATAGATAGCAGCGGCTAACCTATGTAGGAGGAGGATGTGTGAGTGCGCGCTGCGGCCCCCCTCCGTTCGTCCCACTGATCGGGGAAACAATTTGTAGCGAAAGGTAAGATGTTTTATAACAAAAACGGGCGCGCGAAATTTTATAAACAGACCTTTGGTACTCTGGATGTCACGAAAAATCTATTGAATGTATTTGTTTAAAATAAAATTATTTGCACTTTTGAACAACTAATCTATCCCTGTATGGTAACTGTTTTGCAATATCATTCTTCTTATGGTATTTATTTCCGCCCAAAGATGTGTTAAAACTAGTGTTGAAATTCGGAATTTTCGACGCTTATAACTTCTAAACATACTCTTTTTTTACTTTTTTGTTTCCATACAGGGCTAGATAATGATGAGACAAATTGAAATCATTTTTTATTTTGAACGTACACCATCAAACAGTGGAGTAATCGCCGGACTACGTTTGTATGGAAGAATAAGCGACTAGTGTACCCTTAAGCCAAATAAATGCAGAGTGTATTGAGTAACAATTGCATAAATTTTCTTACAATTCAGTTGGTATTTAAAATTGTAGCTTTTTGGAGTATATGATATGTTGAGTTTTTCAGCTCTATTAATTTGAGGCTATGATGACGGTTGGATATGACATCCGTGGTGAAGAAAACTATGGGTACTATATAAACTTTGTATTTTCTCCACCTTCTGGTCACTTCTTCTTTAAGCTCTGCATATTTGCTTATCTTCTCATCTATTGTTTTTTGTAAGTTGTGTGAATTGGGTATTGCAATATCTATTAGGTAGGTAATTTTATATACTTTACCTTGTAGTGTTATGTCTGGTCTATTATAGTGAATGGTCCTGTCGGTAAGTATGGCTCGGTCATAGTAAAGTCCATGTGTAGGATTTTCTGGTGTGTATTTGTAGTAGTGTGTGTTTGTCTTGTATAAGTTTATGAATGAGTGCAAGTTTTTGATGAATAATGTTTGTCACTTGGTTGTGTCTATGAACTTAAAACAGTATGGTCTGTGGTTGGACGAGGCACTTGCAGCATTTGTCATTGGTTACTGTGGTGTCTTTGATGACTTTGATACTTCCTATAGTTTTTAGTGTTGATGATCTGGTCTTATATTGTGATGATATAACCTTCAGTTTCCGGAAATAGAGTACCAATTTTAAGCCATTTATTTGATGCTACTGTATCTTACATGTTGTTCTAGGTCATGTGGGTATCGCCAGTGCAGGACTTTTTTTTGCCAGTTCTCTAACATTTTTTTTGTGGATTGTATATTATTATTATTATTCCCTTTTTTTCTGACCATTAATAATACAAAAAATAAGAGTGTCTTAAAATTATTATTAATAACCTGGGGGTCCATGTAGCAACACTCCTTTGGGTGGTTGTGTAAGTCTGCTGTCAGCAAAAAGTTCCCGTTTCTGTATTGGCAGGATTACAGTTTCACGGAGTTCTTGGATCAAGTGGTCCAAGCCAGCTATATCTTTCCAGTTTACCTTGAATTTAAAAGGTATAAAATAAAACTTAACAATTAATAACAAGTATATAATACAGAGTAAGCTAAGTCAACACAACGAATATATAGCACAGAAATCAAACAACCAATGAGACAGTGGCCTAATGACAAGATGTGAACTGCAAACTCAAGTTCAAATCCGCCATCTGACTACTGTTGTGAACAACTTATAACACAAGCATTGTAAGCTTACCAGGAGTGGTTAAAGACAATATTAGTAATGCTAATATCATTGCTGGTATTTTTGTATTAAAAAAAAATTGCCTCATAAGCAGAGTGTAGGGCAGCCCTCTTAGGTGATGACCTTGTAATAGACGTAATACTGGAAATGATGCAGGTGGCTCAAGCTCATGCTTTGTATCACGTCTTTTTGAAGGCCTAAGTTCAGGAGTGACCTACGGTGGTATGTAATGATGATGGTGATGATTAAGATGATATAAAATATTTTTATTAACATGCAAATTGCTACTGTTATCTCTCTATGGATTATGTATAGCTTGGCTTTTAGAAATTTCTTTAAAGTCAAATTAACAAAAAAAATTACTCACATTTATCTCATCTGGTACAACCAACTGTGAAGCAATAATCATCTCATGGTCTGTCAACTTGTCTAGCTCCACTGAGTGTTTGCCGCCAAGCCCCGCTCTGCAAGATATCCTTAACACATGCAAAAACTGTACAGTTGCCGCCTCACCAAGTAAAATTACACATATAATTATTTATACAACATATAAATAGAAAGGATTTAATATAGTCTTTTGTATTAGATAACAAGGTAAATATTTAAAATCGTTTGGCAGGATGGGGTGAGGGAAATGTCCCCTACACTCTAACACTACTCCCATGAAAAGGTAATACACTGTTCTTCAGAAAAATTAAATTAAAAATCCCATAGACAACCTCAAAATGATAACATTTAATTCTCTCCAGCAGGAGGGGGAAAGGAGCAGGGGTGTTCCCTATCACAACTGTAACAATTTCTGGGTGTTCATGTATTTCTGGGCGGTTAAAAAAAACACTTGCACCCGCTACAATCTTCTAACATAATTCACCTGAAAGGATTTCTGGGTATAAAGTATGTAATAATCATTTCTTTATTGTTAGTAAACTCCTTGTTTTTTCTAAGGGGTAACAAAAGATTCTGAAATAAAATAATTAATTATGAGAGTATAGCCCACAGAAGAATAAAAATACCATAGAAGTATAATAATATGACACTAGGACATGGTGTTACGTTCTTGTTGCACTTACACTAAAATTTGGGTAATTTTGTACTTTCACAATACCCTCATTTTTAGACTCTAGAAAATCGAAAAATCATCCAATTTCGATGTTTTTTTTAAATCTTGATTTTTATGGCGTATTTATGAAAAAAAGTATGGAAAATATCTCACCTGAAGATTTCATATAGTTTTATGACTTTAAATGTGATCAGAAATGCACTTCTTCAAATAAAATCGTTCATAAATTTTTTGCAAAGCATTAAATGAAGTTTTTTTTTAAATCTACACAAAAAAACGAACATTTAAAAAAACATTGAAAAATGTTTATTAATTTTTTTATCTCACTTAAAGTTTTTACATGGTTTTCTGACTTTAAACGTTAACATAAACGCATATTTACCATATCTAGAAAGTCAAAATAAGTAAGTTAATATTTTGGTGTTTTATTGAAGCCCGGTCGACCTACTTCTGAGTGATTTATAATAAAATAACCTCGAAAGAGATTGCGGGGTCAATTAGCTCACTTCACTCGCTCGCTCACTCGACCCCGCCATCTCCTACTAACCCAACCTGTCCGAATCGGGATGCCCTAAGTCCGGAACTCACTTCGCTCAATCTTACACTCAATGAAACACCAAAATAAAAAATTTATAAACAAACATTTTTCAATTTTTTTTAAATGTTCCTTTTTTTGTGTAAAAGTAAAGTAAAGTTACAGCCTATATACGTTCCACTGCTGGGCACAGGCCTCCCCTCATTTCTGAAGGGTTTTAGGAATCAAGGAAATGTCCACCATGCTGCCTCAATGCATGTTGGCGAACTTCACATGTCTTCGAAATATATTTTTTGCCTTATTTCTCAGACATGCAGGTTTCCTCAGGATGTTTTCCTTCACAGTCGAGCATGGGGTAAATCAACACTTAAAATTGCATTTAACAATTTCATTGACGCCGGCGGGGATCGAACCCAGGTTACTCACATTCTGTTATATTTACAGTGAGCGTTAACCATCTGAGCTACCATGGCTCTTTTTTTGTGTAGATTATGAAAAAATTACAACAACTTGATTCAATTATTTGTGAAAATGTTATCAGCAATTATACAAGAATGAGAGCATTTTCATTAACATTTAAAGCACTGAAACCAATATAAGTTTAAATTTTTTTATTCCTGTAACTTTTTTCATAAATCTGCCTTAAAAATGAAGATTTAAAAAAATCATAGAAATAGGATGATTTTTCGATTTTCTAGACACAAAAACAAGGGGACCGCGATAGTATAAAATTACAAAAATTTGTATGCTATACAGCTTTTTTAGTAATATGGCATTTGTTTTACATGTTTCCCCATTACAACAGTCTTTTTTTATTTTCACGAAAATAGTGCATTACTCTTTAATGCAAATGGTATTGTTCTACTCCTCCAAATTCCTGCCAAAACAATTCTTAAGAGTGTTTATGTATGTCTATAATTCTAAAATAATATATATCTATTGGGAAGTCTATTTATAAATAGCATTTTAAAAACGCAATTCCATTCCAAACCTTCACATTAGACAGGTACTAAAACTAAAAATACCAAATTCTCTTTGTGCTTAAACAGTCTAACTGCAATTTTAAATTTTATTAAAATATTTACCTATTAATACTAAATAACTAAATGTGTCCTCATAATAAACAGTGTTATATGTTTATTTCCATGTGAAATTTGAGCACTAATTGCCTTTAGCCATGCATCTTGTAAAACAAATAAAATGCGGGATGAAATTGTTAATAAAAACCTAAACTGCAAAAAACCTTACTATTTGAGTACTTTAAGTTATTTTTATATAAAAAGCGCAATTTTAACAATTTGCAGTTAGGAGATAGGTTACCCGCGATCAATACATACTTGCGTAACTGTTCACGAGCTCGTTCCTCCGCTTTCTTACGACTTTTTGAAGTAGGGTCGATCTGATTTACAAGCCATTTAATTGAAAAATAAGTAACAGCCGATACAAAAGCCACTCGAATTGCCATTTGAAACACATCGTTCCTTGTAAAAGCTGATCCTTCCACCATCATGCCGTAGATCTCTTTTCACAAACGGATACAAAGAAAAACTTCAATTGCAAATGTCAATTTGGCTACTACCCACACAACATGTGACCTATAGAATTACTTTCAATTTTCCATTAAATATAATAAATATAAAAATCTTTTTTCAACATTTCAGTGGGGACATTCCCTATTGCCCAGACTGTCAATGTCAAACTGTCATAATCACAGAACACTAATACCCTTAGGTCATAGGGTGCGTTTGGCAGAAAAAAGCGCTAGCAAGCGCTAACAAGCGCTAAAATAGTTTTCGGCCAGGACACGATTGCTACTTCAGTAGCGCTGACACAATCCGCCATTTTGCTTATTTAATTTGTTTATTTTGAAGTAGAGTTTATAAGTTGTTTTGAGCAATATTAGTTTTAAGTAATATAATGACATGAATAGACATATACATGTTATTAAAATTCATGATTGGTAAGTTTTTAATATGAATACTTTACAAACATATATTTAAATTAGGTTAGATTCCCCGGTTAAAACTAACATCGTGTCCTGGAGGAAAATAGCTACTTACGATTTGACAGCGGTTACCGCTTACGATCGCCATTTTGTTTACAAGCGCTTGCTAGCGCTTTTTTCTGCCAAACGCACCCATAATGTCATTGTTATGACCATAGATAAATATGATGTACGGGGAGCACTGTGTGAGCAGAAAGCGTGATCGGTGCTCTAAGGTTTAGGTAGAGTCTGTCTCTCTCGCACATGCTTCTGATTGGCTGTAATGTAAATCTCGTCACCTCGCTTAGCGCATGCCCAATGAAACAGCCAATGACAGTGACTGTGCGAGAGAGACAGACTCTATCTAAACTCAGTCTCTCTCTCTCTACGCCGATCACGCTTTCTGCTCACACAGTGCTCCCTCCATGTAATGTATGCTCTAAGTGTACGGATGTATATATGTAGTAACGTAATGTAGCACATTAGAATTAATGGTGGTTAATATAGCGCATAGCGCTATATTATAGCGCATAGCGCCATATTATAGCGCATAGTGCCATATTATAGCGCGCTATCTCTCCATAACGCAAAGCGTGTGCTATGTAAGTAGTCGCCATGGCGCTATTGCGTTATGACGCTATTCATATCAAGTGGCAATTAGTTTTAGCAGTAGCGCTGTTGGGAGTAGACGTATGACGCAAATTAAATCTAGCAGCACGTTATTTATCGCGCGCAAACTAACTTAGTGTTAGACGTTGTTTGGTTAGTGTGTACTGTATATTTATAAGTGACCGAAGGACACAGTTGTCTGCTACGAAAGAAGCCTAACTAATGTTTTTAAATGTAAATAAAATATAGATACAAAAGTGTATATAATAGTGTTTGTAAACAGTTTATTTTGTATATACAATCATTAAACTTTTAAATACATCATTAATTGATTTATAATTTATATTAAGGCTAAAATAACGTTAAATCAATTATAATAAAAATGATGAATTTTATTTTGTTTTAAAAAGTACATGCCTTAAAAATATTTTTAGGATTATAGAAAGTCGTAAGCCTGTAAGCCGTTCATTGATTTCTCTTTACCACATTATTTTATTATTCTAAAATGCGACTTACTACGAAATAATCTTCTTATATAGCACGCGGTATATCCAATGAACGACACGTAATGTAGCTTGCTCCGAGATATAGCGTGCTGCTAAACTTAACGTGCTTGCCGGCCTCCTACACGCTTTCTTATAAATAGCGCGCTATAACATAGCATAATTAATAGCGCGCTAGAAATTTATAGTATATAGTCTATAGCGTGCTATTGATTTATAGTCGTTTTGAACAACTTTAATTAAAATATACTAAAGCCTCATTTATATTCAGCCCCTGCCACTACTCTTCGCGCTGCTGAACATATTTCGCTAAATACTGCCGTAGCAGGATCGAGAGAAGTGTGTATTTACATTCTGACCTACCAGTCACGTACACTTTCGACTTTCGATTATGGCAGACGTCGAAATAATTACAGCGTCCGCGCTGTGTCTTCTTGTAATACAAAATTATGTTAATAATTCAAAAAGATATCAAATTCAAAAGAAGACAGATAGATAGATAAACAGAAAATTTATTTGCTTAAGAACATGGTACTTAAGATGATCAATGACGTGGAACTGACATGTTTTTCCATAATTGGCATGCAAAAATTGCATGAAATACATCTAATTACACAAACACAATGTTACATTTTATTTCATTGCTTAAAAGTTCAAACAAACAAACATTCTTTTTGAATTCAAATATTATGTACAATTAAATACTTACACCTTTAATTTAATACTTATACTTATGGAGCCGTGGTAGCTCAGATGGTTAGCGCTCGCTGTAAATATCACAGTATGCGAGCAAACCGGGTTCGATCCCCGCCGGCACCAATGAAATTGTTAATTGCAATTTTAAGTGCTGATTTACCACGTTCTCGGCGGTGAAGGAAAACATCGTGAGGAAACCTGCATGTCTGAGAAATAAGAAAAAAAATATATTTCAAAGACATGTGAAGTTCGCCGACACGCATTGGGGCAGCGCGGCGAACACTTCATTGTCCTAAAACCTTCTCAGAAATGACGGGAGGTCTATGTCCAGCGGTGGGATATATAGAGGCTGTAACTTTACTTTACTTTTTTAAATACTTATACAGATCCACTCTATTTGAATTCTTATACAATAAATTATTCATAACTTATTAATTGAATTATTACATTATTGTTACATTAATAATATTAAATATTATATGAGATTAGTTAAGCTATTATTATTTTAATAATTACACTACAGTATAAATTAATTCATAATTTTAATTACAATAAAATTATAATTTACAAATCTCAGGCTATTATGCAAATATTACCATTTAATTTAATACATTATTTTACATTTTAATAAATAAATAATCATTTGTAATTATTTTTGGAAATAAAATGTCAAAGTTCATTAATTCCTTAAAATAAATTTTATATTAATATAATAAATTTGACGAATTTATAATTAATTATGTACAGTATTATGTTATCTCAAAAAGAAAATTCGTCTTCGTAGATTATGAATTATGTTTTTGATCGTTGAAATCCCATATAGCTTTTTCTGATTCCAGCAGTTCTAAAAACTTGATTGTACTATCGTTACTCCACTCGAAAGGCATTTTGGCAGATCGTACTTATTTAAAAACAAGACGGCACGCACATCCGTTCGTCCAGGCGCTTGGCGCAAAGTGAGCGACGGAGCAGAATCTGAACACTCACTGCCACTCGCGCTGCCCGTCCTTTGACTTCCGCACGAAAAACCGACAATTGAAGGAGCATCGGGCAGTAGCAGCGGCAGCGACAGTGACAGCGCGAGTAGCCTATTTACATACTGTCCTGCCCACTTCCCTGCTCAAAAAGGCTGAATGTAAATGGGGCAGAACGTATGTATAGACATAGTAAAAACAGAATAGCAGGATACTCCCGCGCCGCGTGAACCTTACATGACTACTGTTTCAGGGTTATCACTGTCTTTTTGTTTAAGAGCAAAATCTCATTTAGTTTTATAAGTAGTTATAATTTTCACAAACATAATACATAAGGATACGTACCTATGCACCATATTAGTAAATGATTTCCTTATTTTCCTCTCAAAGAATCCATTTTTATCAGAAAATTCAGCTCTACGTTACAACAAATACCAAACAACTAAAATTATGTATAAAACCACATAAATAAAAAAACGAGCAAATTAATAGTAAACGTATGGTGTCAGCTCAGATTTAATGTTTAAAATTAATTTGAATTGATGTGATATGAAAATTAATGTACTTATGAGGTATGTACCTACGTAAAGATATATAATCTATTAATAAAAAGCTAATTTACTTAAACAAACGCACAAATTAATTTGTTATACAAAAAGAGAAAATAAAAGAAAAAATGACTGTAAAGCAAAGGTGATTGCGGAACGCGTCGGTGAGCATCTCCGACTCGGCCCGATCTTTTCGACTTAGCAAGTATTGTTGCGTGCATTCTGTGGCTCGTGCTTACGAGTCCATACTGGCGCGAGTCAGGCACGCACACATATTAGCGCGTTCGGTACATTTCTTAGAATATAGCCTACTATTTTGGTTTTACTATGGTATAGACGACCTGACAGCCCGTAAACGCGTGAAATTTTTTAATTTGTAATGTAACTGTGTGCGTTAGCTAGTGATATACATTTGACTTACAAGGACTATCAAAGGGAAGAAATCACTTTAAATACTTTTACAACAACAAGGACTATCAAAATGATTGTTAAGAAAGCGGTGAAAAGATTAAAAACTAGTTTAGTGCATGAAACTAAATAATCTAAAATTAACTGAATTTTCTACGTGATAATCTTAAATAATTTAAAAAATTCTAATAACATGTTCCCGAAAATAAGCAGCACCTACCTGCGTTTTATTAGATTTTAATTCAAAATGTAAATAATATAATATAATTAAATAAACTTAAACAATTTTCCCCAAAAATCAGATCAAAATATTGTATTTTCGAGAAAAGGAAGATACTTAATTAAGTAAATACCTATTAAAGGGGACAATCATTTTTGGGCCCACTAAAAATATTAACGTCCACTAATGGTATTACATCAAAAAAAAGACACCAAATTATAATAGTAAATGGCCTACAGATTTTTCGAAAATGTAAACGGAATCAAGAAATACGAAAAAAAAATTAGTTGTTTTGATATTCGTGTTCTGATTAGTGTAATATGGGTAAAATGCGTGTACCTAATTAGTCATTTTGCAGCTTGTATAAAAAGAAAACTATTTTTTCACAAAGCTGACTTAAAAAAGATACCACTAAGAACTTTATGTTTAATTTCTAAAAATTTTAGCTAATATCACGTTATAACATAGTTCTAAATGACTGTGAACCAAAACGTTATTTTATCATTGACTTCCGGTAATTCCCAGCGGCCGGCGGCCGGGTACGGCGGGGCGGGGCGGCGGGGTATTA